CGAAAAATATGATGATTAGAGAAGAGAGAAAGAGAAAAAAGAGAGAGAGAGAGGGGGGGGGGGGGGAGAGAATGAAACAGATTGAACAAGAGGATGATTAACAAGAAAAATGATGGAAGGTTGAAAGAAGGGCCAATATGCAACCAAGATAAAAAGCAATATAGATCAGGAAATAAGGAGCGAGCTTGCAAATCGGAAAGAAGGGACTTTGCTGCGTGTCCCTGTTTGTATGAAAATGTGTTTGGCAGAGTTTGTGGGGATTTTTAGTGGGAGAGGATTTGGGCTTTGAATGGGGGGAGGGGATTGGATTGAGTTGTTAGCGAGAACATGATATCATCATTCACACCTGTGTCTTGAGGGGGCGATGAGTAAGTGGCTTATGTAGTTATATGAAGTCTATGGCCATGAATACTGGATGAGAGAGAGAGAGAGAGAGGGAGAAAGAGAGAGGGGGAGAGAGAGAGAGAGAAAGAGAGAAAAGGAGATCATGAAAACACAAAGTAAATTACATGAAGAGAGACTGATGGCTAAAAGGAAAGGGAAAATGAGAGAGAGAGAGAGAGGGGGGGGGGGCACTGAGATAATAATGTATAACATGTTTTGCCGTAGTGTTTACATTAGTTTTTAATCATAAGATGTTGAACTAGCAATATTCTGAAACAAATATTATTGATATATTGACAATATAGGTCCTTTGTGTTTTTTAAAACAAGATCAAATTCTAATTGCATCAAGAAAAAAGAATTGTGAATAGTGTACGTGCATTTTACCGCGTACAGGTAATTGATTCCCAGTGGTAGTTCACTTTTACCATCCCACAATGTACCAAAGTGACTTTCCTATTTTTTAAGTACAGGCACAAATAAAGTCTTCGAATGACACCAGAATGTCATAGAAATTGCTTCGTCACTACCTCTCAAATTTGATGTTTAATCAATAAAGAGGGTAGGGAAAAAGAGAGAGGGGAAGGGGAAAAAAGAGAACAGAAAATACACCATTTACGTCAAATCCTAACATAGCAAACATGACAGCAATACAACACTTTGCAAAAAGCGCAGTGAGAACACTTATTCCATTGCTTACTCTTTACAAACAGACGCCCAGTAAATGTTACATTGAGAGCAAATTTATGAGTGATATGATACCATTTTGCCCACACTGGGGAGCAAACATTCGTGACAGAATATTTCATTTCTTTACACTTTTTTGCGGGTGAAGCAGCGTGATGTTGATTCTGGCTTATGAATGTAAACAACGTGAAGTGGAGGGGGAAAGCTAGCTGACATGCTACCAGATCGCTAGTCTTGTGCATACAGGCTTTTGCAATGAGATTTTGTTTCAGTGTGTGTGTATGCCTATCATATGTGCAGAGGTGTTGTTTACCTACTTGTTGAAGAGGCTGGATGTAGACTAGGACATCATATTTGATCTACAGGTGATCTTCCTTTAGCAATAATTCGTGACATTTTGTTGAGAAATGGATTGAACTATTAATCACATTTCTATGCGATGATTCATATTGTCAATTACATTGTAAATGTTTGTTGGCAAATTTATTTGATTTGAATTGGCTAACTACATTTATTCAATATACACGTTCATGTATGTCCGCTCTAAGTGTATTTTACCTTTTGATATTGGTTTGTATTGGGATGATGTAAAATAACTAAATAGAAAAAGAATAATAACAAGTATTGCGTAGCTTACAATTGTAAATCTAAATACGAATTGTAGCTCGTCCGTCAGCCATTCAGACAGTTTGGCTGCCCTGGATGTGGGGCAGGTGGGTATTAAGTTTATTGCTCATCTACCATTTCCTTATCCAGTTATTGCGAGTCCAAATGATAGCTGTATAAGAATTTCCATCTAAATACATTGCTTGTGGCTGTAGAACTTCAACTAGTGAGCCTACATTCGTCCCGTCTAACTATCGCCCTGTGGTTGATTTTGTAAGGGTTCTGATCCGATTTGGTTTAAGAAGGTTAGGTTTAGGGTTAGGTTGTGGTTGTTACGTCAGGATTTAGTTAGGGACTTTGTTCGGGTACGTATGAATGTAGCTGCAGATAGATTGATGCTAGAGAAGTAGAGCACATGCTGTAGGCCCCTAGGACCTCTAATTTTCTCTATTTATTTTACCTTTTAAATTTTTGCATACAATTAAACCTAAGTTTAGGATAAGGTGTCAATAGGCGTGTCTTCATCAGCTCGAGATTGCCAAATAGCCCGCTATTTCTGTTTTGGGAAATAATCCCAGTTACAAATCACGTCTTCTTCAGCTCGAGATTCGACCTCAAAACTTGAAACTTGACCTTGAGGAATTAGCTAGAAATATTTTGCTCAGTGCTAGTCTTCGGGCTGGTGAAGACGCACCGGACAAATAGCGGGATATTTTGCAAACTATCCCAAAATATCTTGGGATGATTATCCCGATCAAATATCCCGCTAATTGCAACTAGTTCAGGCTGATGAAAACAGGCCTAATGCACTTGGTAGTGCACTTGACTTGAATCTGTCTTTCACACTTTCCGCCAAGCTTGAAAGAGGGCTATCATGCACGGCCATGTGGGAAGGATACTTGACCCTACGACCCCCACCAGCTGTATACAGCTAACGACCTTTGACACCTATCCTCCTCACAGAGGAGGGTTTTTGGGGTGTATACTCTGAGAGATTCCTCTGGAAGTCTTTATGGCCGTAGCAGCACAATGGCCACCGTGAAGTGGCATCCATACTCAAAGGCAGGGAGGGTGTGGAAGCATGTTCTTGTCACATTGTTGTTGTTGTTATTGTTGTTTGATCTCGGGTGCTGCTCCCCAGGAGGCATTCATTTAATTTACCAGAATTATCCAAACATACTGTATGTATCTAACTATTTATTCATGGTATAGTATACAATCAGTCCCGCCTCAGAAAGGTCATTTCATAATTTTTTTCATTTTTGTCTCGCCTGCGTAGCAAAAAGCGAGACATAGGCGCCGCTTTTCCGGTGACGGCGGCGGCGACGGTGACGGCGACGGCGACGGCGACGGCGACGGCGTCAACATCAAAAACTTAACCTAAGGTTAAGTTTTTGAATTTTTGGTATAATTTTTAAAGTATAAGTTCTAAGTCAATGAAACTTTGACTATAGGGTAATCAAGTATCCCCAATCATGTGAGTAGAATTTCAGATCACTAAGTTAAGGTCAAAGGTCATTTCAGGTCAACAAACTTAGACTTTGTTGTGGCATCAACATTAAGATTTTCAAAATGCTTCTTCGTTATTTTTCAACCGATTTTGATTCTGATTGTTTCATATGATAGGGCTAGGAGGGGATTTAAAATTTCTACACAGAATCGTGAAATTCATTATCTATGCTAATTTATGCAAATTTATTCGAAATCACAAAAAAGGCTTCTTCTCCTTTATTTCTCGACCGATTTTGATTTGGTTTGCTTTATATCGTAGAGCTAACTTTGGTACACTAAACTTCTACACAGAATTTGAAATTGTTCTCCATTAATGAATTATGGTAATTTATGCAAATTTATTCCAAAAATAACAAAAATTGCTTCTTTTCTCTCATTTCTGACCGATTTTGCCTTATCTGGTAGAGCTAAATTTGGAACAATAAACTTCTACACAGAATTGTGAGATTTTGCTCCATTGATTATTTATGGTACTTTATGCAAATGAAATGAAATTATGTCCCTTCCAGGGCATCAAATTTCTATTTTTTGACCAGTTCAAATGTGTACCACATAAAATTTACGATATTTGTTGTGAGATGCGGATGAGCGCAACGTCATTGGCGTTCTGGTTTATCATATTGAATTGCGTTATGCAGGCGAGACCGCCGAGAGCGTTTCCCTTGTTTTTTTTTTGTTGTTGTTTGTTTTGTCTCTCCTTATTGTGCTCAATCAACCTAGCTTCGTGAACATGAAATGAAATTGACATGTGACTGCATAAAACAAAAATATGATGATAATGACCATCCTTTTTAACTGTTTTATGATATGAGGCTTCTTTCAATTCAATCATTCTGAAGTAGTCATGAATGTGATCAGTTCACAATTTAATTGCAGGCTGTAGCTTTCGACATGATTATCTAGTCACTGCCCCCATGTACATGAAGGTATTTCCATTAATCGTGAACCGCGGTAATTAGTTGACACGACAATCGTATGAAAGGTGTGTCTTTGTTCCTAGCTTGACTCGAGCCAAGTGAAGTGTTTACACCAGATAGATTTATCAGTTGAGATGTTGCATGTATCAAACCTAATTGCCCCTGTGTAAACACTCTTGAACTTGGGGGCCAAGCGCATCTAGAGTGTGTCGATACATGTATGTAGCTTTGGTTTAGTATCACAGGGAATAGGGGATGGAGGGAGAGATCGTTTGGTCTTGTTATTTCAACCATGTTTGGAATGCATATCTAGGCAAAATAGGGTTGAGGTGAAACTTGACATTATATGACTGTTTAGTATGGAGAGATCTGTAATGAAAGTGATAAAACCCAAGCAAAATCATGAAATCGAGCATTCACTACTCTAATAGTCTTGTGGATATTCCATTTCTCTTTTCTTTTTTTCCTTTTTTTGTTGTTGTTGTGTATACGCCTGTATGTTCAATACAGCAAGCAGTATGTTCCTATATTGTGTAACACTAACACTAGTGTTATATGAATGTTACTAGTGTGACAGATATGTACATTTCAACAGTAATAATCTGTGACTGTCAGGAAAGAACTTACTCATCAAACTTGTAGCCCAAGGAAAAAGGATAATCAAAAGATATGCAGGTTTCCAAGTGCATATGAACCTGCAAAATGCACTTCTTGTTTATGTTTATTGAAAACCTCCATTTTGAATTTAGCACTGTTTTCTAGCAATTTTCCTAATATCCTTGATCAGTGTGGAAGTATAGAAGTTATCAAGCTCTTGCTATTAAGCTGACGAAAGCCTTTTTTCCCATTGCATCTCGTCATTAAATAAAGTTTTTCTTTTTCTTTTATCTTGTAGGTGAGGCAAATTCTAAATTCACCAAGCATCGCCATCGGAGAGAAGCCACCATCGAAGACATCCAATGGGATGCCCTCAACTACACATTCTACGCAAATCCAGATGTATTTTTATTAAAAGACAACAGCATTGCCAATTCACAGAGCCAATCTATCAGCAACCACACCCATTGGGACAGTTTGTTTGCGGAACAGGTCATAGGGACCCCTGATGTCCGAAGAACATTGTTCAAAGCCGGGAGCGGTCCATTTTGGGTTCAGAAAGAACTCTTTCCGACCCTGCCGGAGCCGTTCAACGAAATGAGCATTCAGGCCCATCTATTACAGCAAGAAATCCCTCCATTTGCAAGCAGCATTAGTGTCTTATTTAGCTCTAGGAATGACAATTTATTTAGCAGCAGCGGCGGCAGGACAAATCGAGGGAATTCAAGAAATGTCCAGCCTTGCTTCAGAGCTGCTGCGCTGTTCGGTGACGAAGAATCTGTAGGCTCATGCACTCTGCAGGGAGAATCGGAGCATTGTGTCGCCAAGGTGCCCATCCCTATGTCATGGCATGAACGCAGCCGAACGGGTTCAGTCAACGACATTGCCATCTCCTACGTGGTGTTCCCAGCGACGAGCGTGGGCTCTTGTGAACCTCAGGCGGATAACTCCATCTCGTCGAGAGAAAGGACTCCCAAAGCAGCGGGACTGCCCTCTATGGTTGACTCGCAAGAGGTTGGCAGAGTGACCATCCTGTCCTGGGAAGGCCAGATGGACCTGATAGAAGAGGACCAGTACGTAGGACTCCATGTTCCTAGCAGAAGATTAGGAATCGGTGAGCACTTCGTCATCCCGATCACCATCAACAAGAAATATATGTACACTGACGGAGTATGTACAATCAAGTAAGTTGTGCTTTTATAGTTTGAATTTCTTTCTCTTTCAGGACAGTTCAACCTTTGTAATAAATTGTTAATAGGTTAGAATGCGTAACAAATTTCAAAGTAGCGATTAATTAGCGATCAGCGAATCAGTAATGTCATTGTGATGTAGTGTGAGATACAGTACCGTATTTGCCGGCGTATAGGCCGCAGTATTTTTGGAAGAGAAAATATCAAAAAGTCGGGGTGCGGCCTATGCGGCGAAAGAGTAAAAAAAGTTTTTTTTTTTTTTTTTTTTTTTTTTTTTTTTTTTTTTAGTTTCGATTTATGGCGCTATGCCTGGCAATGTCTCCCAGCTCAGTAATCAGTGTGTTGACTCACCACTCGGAAACTACAACAACACTAAAATTTGACTGTCATCTTGGTTTGAAAGTAATCTTTCTAATAGATCTCAATATGTAGTTTATAATAATATTTCCTCAAATTTTTTTCTATAACAAAAATGGTGTACCACAAGGTACACCACTGGTACCATAGGTACTTTATTGTTTTTTAATTCACATTAATGATCTTACACATTCTTCTAAAAACGACATTGTTACTTTTATTTGTGACAAGTTTACAAGCACAAATCAGCGCCTTTAACTGCACCTCGATGTTAAATGAAGGTCCTTCCACGCGTGGGTTTTCGGCAGCAAAACAACAACAACAAAACAAAACAAAAAAGATTTTTTTTTTTTTTTTTTTTTTTTTTTTTTTTTAAATGTCAAAATCAGGGGTGCGGCCTATGCGGGGGTGCGGCCTTTACGCCGGCAAATACGGTAACTCTACCAATTGAAGAACATTCTTTTTTAAAGTTATTAAACTAGTAATGCTCTTTGGTCTGTACATTTCTAAAATGATGTATTAAAATACATCTTAAATACAGCTTATAGGGAAAAGGTGCTTAGAATAATGGTAGAGTTGTCCCCAATAAAACATTGCAGACCTACTTTATCAAGCAGGTTAATTAATTGTCGGCATTGTTTTAGTTCTGAGAAATCGTCAGCCGGCTGGCAGAAGGGCGTTAGCGCACGAGCGACTCCAAAACTACTTTTTGAATTATTCGCATTTAAAGATTTGTTTTATATTTAAACTGCTTTCTGTCCCGAAAATTGATTCAAAATTTAAAAGACTATTAGAAATGTTAAAGTAGAACACGGCCACAATTTTTTTGTGGAAATAAGTCAGTTTTACAAAAGTTTGAGGCGATTTAGTGCTAACGCCCTTCTGCTTAACGCTTCATTTTTTTACCTGAAGTTCGAGCTAACGCCCTTCTGCCAGCCAGGCGACAAAATACAGACTTTACAAACCAAAAAATGCCTATACTTTTTAGTAACATATGGGTCATACATACATGTATATCATTCAAACAATGCCACATTTTCTGGTTGCTATACATTCCAACTGAAGTCTGACTTTGTTTTTTGTTGATATTTTCTTCATGAAATGCCTTTGTTACCCAGATATCACCAAATGACCGTAGTGTTGACTTTGAGACGACCTTTGCTCCTAGTAACACTCATCTGGGCTTAAGACAATGCATCGTAAAACCTCTGCTTTTGTTAGCATTCCTTAGGGGCAAAGATTCAATAAAGGAATAATGGCCTAATTTGTTAATGCTGTTTGAAATTGCTTGTTTTGTGCTCCTGTTGAAGTGCACACATTGTGCTAGCTATATTGGTGCTCTTGTATGATACACTCCATGTGTACAATTCTAAAGAGGTTAAATTCTGTATGATTTTATCTAAACTTAAAGCCCCACAATGAGGATTTCTGACTTTTAAAATATAAATTAGAAAATAGGTCTTTCCTAATTTTAAGAGAAACTATAGTGGAATAACACATGAAAAATGATACAGATGTAAGGGAGGGATACAAGTCAACAATTATATTTACATGTACAGTACATGTACATGTATGTCTGCCATTTTGTTAATTTACGTATTACCTCATCCTTCGTGACTTTTACTCACTGAATATCTTTATTTATAAATAACAAAAACAATGAGCTTATTAAAGTGCTTAACATGATCTACTGTTTTACCTTTTCTTCCTGTGTCTCTTTCAATGACATTGCTGTGCACATGCATATATCATTTGATGAATTGATACACTGCACTTGTATAAAAGGCATTCATAAAATAATGCTATCGCTTTGTTGTATTACCCTGCAATGCAGTATTATGGCCTAATTAGCTATGCTTTGACTTGGAGGCCCACCTATAATGGAATAAACATGAAAAGATCCCTCTGTGAACCCGATCACAATTGGCTTGGTTCTGGCCGACCTAAATCTGGCGGTATCGTCTCATTCGAGATCAGACGGCTTGCCGAACGCAGACTTGAAAGTCTGCCGCGGCGCACGCCAAAATTGAATCATGCACGTGAGACAATCAGCTTCTATGCTAGCCTCCAGTCCAGACTTTTATGGGAGATAATCATTTTTGTTTAACTGTGAGTCTGTGAGGATCAAAATAAATGTTTGCATTCCACAATCAATTGTTGACTCTCCTATTTTATTGGATGAAAATTAATCAATGTGGATTGTAAAGTTCAAAAAATTCATTGCATTGAAAGAATCCAAAATATAGCATTCAGATATTAAAAATATTGTTAGCATTGGTTTGTTTGATCATGGATCTGAAATATGGTGACTTGGCCTGGAGGAACATTTGGGGATTTTCGGCTCATAAATTTTCCCTCATGCTTATCGCTTTATATACACATGATACATTTACAGTAGTTTAACTTTTCAGTTGCTTTCCTCGCCTTTCTGCAAGGTCGGGCATTTGCTATACAAGCATTTTTGCACAAAATAATAGGCTCAAATAGAGGGAAGGATTGCCTTATGCAAAACAACAACTAAAATGCAAAATTACAAATTTCTGGTCTGGATTAGCTCCATGACATTCCTTTCAAGTAATAACATTAGTCTTGCACTGGAAGTAGTTCAATAATCTTGAAACCTGTGGTATGTCTATTTCATTATGAATTCATTGTGACACAGGAAAATTATTTGTGTGGCATGTAAAGAGTTAAACACAGTTCTCCATCAAGCTCAAAAGTATGAGCCTCTAGTCTCGGTTCATTTACCTTTTTAAAAAATAAATGATGATGATGCTCTACGAAAGTATGTGTTAGGTATGTGTACTCTACCATTACTAGTTTATGTATCACAACGGATGGTAATTTCATCTCTCCATACCCTGATAAAGAGTAGAGTATCACTTTCTTTTTCCTCTCAATTATCTCTGTGCCTAAAGTCCTCTCGGGTAATATTAAAGTGGTAGTTTTGTCACAGTATTAAACTCCATTTCCCATCCTGCAACGGTGTAGAGCATGTAATTGTGCAGTATTACCGGTGTAGATAGCCAGATCCACCTCCGATAAGTAATACACCTGGCTCGGTGAATTACGCCCGCCTGTTAATCCAGTTACAAGCGAGGGAGCTTTGCACATGGAGGAGCGCGCAGTGACAGTAATTATCGCCCTCGTGCCCTGGGCGAAGCTAAAAGCCAGCCGCGGTACCCCTCTACATTGCAGTTTAGCGCTCCTGGGCAGGAGAGATGAGACCGAGAGATAACTGATGAAATAACAAAACGTCATTGAGATTAAAACAGGATGAAGAGAGAGAGAGAGAGAAAGAGAGGGGGGAATTATTTAATACTGCTCTTTTTTCCTGCGATTTCCGCTAACTATATCAGCCTTGCAATCGTAAGGCTGCCTCACTATAAACAGTCTTGCTCATTGGCCTTGGATGTGGCAGTGTCACGCACCGCTCGGCAGTGCGCTCATAATTTTTTGTTGAAAAGCTTTGTTGCTTTTGTTAATTTATCGCTTTGATGGGATAATCACATTAAGTGTTTATGAACAAGAGCGGGCAGACACAAAGCTTTGGAGAAATGAATGGAGCTTTCAGAAACCAGTCGTCCTATAGGTCTGATTAAACAGATAAGGGATACACCATTTCATTGATAAGCATCTCTTTGAATATCCAAAAAGGAAGGGGGGGGGTCGTTCTACATTTGGTAGGCTTTCGGGCTATTCTCTCTCTCGCCCTCTCCTTTTCTACTTGTTGTGGTATCATTATTGTGTGCATTACAAAAATCAAACATGTATTTGGCTCCATCCTTTCACAAGCCAGCGTTAATAGGGCCAATCCTTGGTGGCAGATTTTTATCACAATCTATTCAGAAGCTATGTAGCTCTGGCATGCTTTTTCATCTTTTAACAAACAAGAAATTTTAAAACCACATGCTCACTCTATTCATTTGAAATGTATAATTCAGACAGTGCAGGATTTTGCCAATTTTTGTTTAATACACATGCAGTAATTTTGTGAAGCCTCATTGTGCAAAGGATGCTCTTTGTATCTTTTTATAAGAGCTAAGTTTTAAAGCAAATATTTGTTTTGGGGGTAAATTTCAGAGACTTGCAGAAGAGACTTACTGTATCAACAAGATTTCACACCATTCCATATATCTGTGCTTTTTATTTCAATTTTTCATTTTCTTTTCTTTCTTAGGTATCGTGTCATTGTCATTTTAATAACACTTCCTAAGGTAAAGAGATTTGAGCTCTCAAGAGATGTTCCATAATTGCTTTGGACAAATTTAAACTTGAACAAGAAACAAAAATAATTTTACTTTTACAGTAGCCAATCAAAACTGAGCTCCTATGATCTAAACTTCTAAAGGTAATTATTTGTTTACACTGATATGTCCCTGTGATTCTCGCTACAGCATGTAGCAATATACATTCCCACAAGAAATTGCCCCTTCAATACCTTTGCGATTTTGTAGACACACTATAAGTTCCGCTGATAATTTGTAATCTGCCATTCTCAAGTAGTAAGCATATTTTATGCTTCAGTACAATGTTTTTAGAAAATTCTTGCACAATTCCTGGGGTTTTATTTGTTTCTAAGTTCAGAACATCTTATATTCATCAAGTCTAAATTTGTTTTAACTTTTTCAAGGAGG